TTGCTTTTGATTGGCAGTAGATTCAGGACTGACAATAGCGCTCTTCAGCAGCTCAGCCTGGGGAGCCCCATATTTCTCAGTGCTTGCCTGCTGTGCCCTCCATGCCTGTCCTTTGTGTGTTTAGTGCAAAGGTCTGAAGGGGGCTTGCAAAGGCATTTGCCTGAATGCACTTAAAAGCCCCCTTAAGATGTTTGCACACAGATCAAGAGTGGAAAGGCTGTGCTGGAAAATCTCAAGGATGAGGCCGACATGCTCACTTCATCCCTCATCAAATGACTTGAAGAATGTCTTTTGATGACCCCAAGTTCTAGTTTCATGGAAGAAGGAAGAAAAGTGTGCTGTACACCAGGAGTAGGAAGCCCCAGCCCCAAGGGCCAAATGTGCCCACCCCCAGGAGGCCTCTCTATCTGGACCTTGGAGCTCCCCGAAGTCATATCCCTTTCTGGCCCTGCAACACACCCCAGGTGTCTTGTTGGACTGGGATGTGTTGTTGAAGTCTGACAATGCCTCTTGCTTCTCTGGATGGAGATAAGAGGGGAGTGTGTTAGCGCATGCAGAAACTAGCTTACTGTACAAAGAGGGCATATTGATTCGCCCACTTTTGCCCCTAGCCCTGTCCACTACTGGCATGTGGCCCTCAGAAAGTTGTCTTGTGGGAAAACCAGCTATCAGGCTGAAAAAGGTTCCCTGGCCCTGCTTTTTACCATGCACAGTTTACTGGATCTCTTACAACTGAAGGCTCCGGAGTTGTTGCGAGAAGGCACACAGATTGTAAATGTAGTTCACAATTGAAAACTGCTACCTTGATAAAGGAACAATTAATTAGGCACAAAATGTCTGTTTGGAAAAATTTTGACATTCTCCTCGTATTCTGTGCTACTTCTGCTGGCTTCTTGCACCCCCCATCCTCCCTTCCTTTACTATTTGATCGTTAAAATAAATAGCCCATATGCGACTGTAAAAAATGAGCCAGCTGATATGTTATGCAACACTCGGCTTGGCACAAACTGCAGTATAAATAATGACCAAACTGTGGACTGAAATTGGCAACTCCCTAAAATGGTAAGGAATTGATAAGGAGCTGCTAAAGGCAGGTCTCATATGTCTTATTGATGAAGTGCGATTAGATAGCCCATTACTACAATGAAAACAAACCATTAATGTTTTTATTCAGACTTCTTCCTGTGGAAGCAGCTTCATTTAAAAGGTCAAATAACTCTTTTCAGGTTGGGGGGGGGATTGCTTGCATTAATAGCTATCTTCCTCCCAAAAAATAGCTCAAGATCTACTCTCACATGATATACTGGCTGGATTTTGTTATAAGTAAGAACATTTTTTTCAAAAAAACCACACACCAAACATTTATTTAATATTAAACAAATGATAACAATACAGTGGTACCTCGGGTTAAGATCTTAATTCTTTCTGGAAGTCGGTTCTTAACCTGAAACTGTTCTTAACCTCAGGTACCACTTTAGCTAATGGGGCCTCCCACTGCCGCCGCACCACTGCTGCCACGTGATTGTGCCACCACCGCACAATTTCTGTTCTCATCCTGAAGCAAAGTTCTTACCCCAAGGTACTATTCCTGGGTTAACGGAGTCTGTAACCTGAAGCATCTGTAACCCGAGGCACCACTGTACATTTCCCACAAAAAGCAACACACACACACACACACACACACACACGGCAGATAAATTTAGAATCCTGCAAAATAGACACTAATGGCAAAGACCCATTTATGCAGCTGGGAAAGCCTGTTGGAACAAAAACATCTTCAACTGTTTCAGGAAAGTGCCTATAGCAGGCACCTGTTGCATCCCAACAGGAATGCTCTTCCACAAAACAGGAGACCCCTGAGTGGGTCTGCAAGCTGGCATTTTTCGTTTCCCACAATTCCCTGGCATAGCATAATTCTGGGTCCAAGGAATGGCCTTGCCTATCATTGGCTCTGGCACCATGTGCTATAGATCTCCCTTTCTTCCATCCTATCACAGTCCCAGCCTACACCAGCCACCACTGAGTGTGGGGAATTTAAGGTATCTGCTTGCAGCTCCTCTTCCCATCCACAATACCAGGTGAGCCAGCAGCCTATTGATATGGGAGCCGGGCAGACAACACTTCACAGAGGGAATTTTTGACCTGGCCTGGGCCTGACTGGGATCATGCATCTAGTTCATCTTCTTTTTTAAACATCTGGAAAAACATGAGCAATGATAGCGCTGGTCACCATACTGCTGTCAGCATCAAGTGTTGTCCATCTCCAAGCATTGATCTGAAAGCTGTGTCAACACCAAACTTCCCTGCCTCCTTAGTCTCGTGCTGCTTTAGCACAAAATAAAAAGTGCAAAGTCACGGTCCCATTCATTGCCATGCTGAAGCTCCGGCTGACTGGCAATCCCATTTCAGCAAGTTTGCTGTAATAAATAACTCCCCAAACAAGGAAGTCACAAAAGCTGCAACCAAGAAGTCCGCAAGCATATATATATATATATATATATATATACACACACACACACACACACACACACTCCAACTTCACACCAGAAGACATATGATTTAGGGTGGAACAAGGACAGCTTTGTGGTGATGATTCACCACACATTTCACATCATATGAACAAAATGCAAAAGATAAGGAGTTAAGACAAGGGTGGAGGACCTTCCTTAGCTTGAAGACCAGCTTTCCTTGTGGGCAACCTTCTGAGGGCCACGTGCCAGGGGTGGGAGGGGCCAAAGCCCACAGTGGACAATGAATGTAACCTTTACTTTTATACAGTAGGCTAGTTACCACACACACAGCCCACACACCCTGCGTCCAAGCAAGCAAAAGGCATAATCAGAGTTCATTCCAGCCAAGCAAAATCACCAAGGAGGGTACAAAGCAAGGCCAGTGACGGATGTGGTCTGAGGAGAGAATAGGGTGTGGGAAGAGTCCCTGAGGACCAGATAGAGAGGGGTAGTGAGGTCACATTTGGCATCTGGGCCTGAGGTTCCTCAGCCCTGAGTTAAGATATAAAAGATTGGGGGGAGGGGGTGTCAGCCTTAGAAGCAAGTCTGAGCTAAAAAATGCCCATCGCTGTGGTTTAATTATGATTGTCTGGAAACAGAGCACACTATTCAATGAACAGAAGATGAAGCTTGAAATGGCTTGATTGCCATTGATTCCTCGTGGAAGGTTCAACGCCATACAGATTGAGATGCATTTTGTTCCAACTTCATCTCTTTCTCTCCCTGTTTCTCATGATACTTGGTCTACTGAGCTATCCCCAATTTCAGCTTTTGCACCAATGGCTATTTTGCCTAAACATACTTTATTAGGGAAAGTGACTCAGTAGCAGAGCAGCTGCTTCGCATGCAGAAGGTCCCGTGTTCAAGCCAAGACATCTGCAGGTGTGGCCGGGAACCCAGAGAGCTGCTGCCAATCAGTGTAGACAGGACAGAGCTAGACCCAACATTGGCCTGACTCAGCTTCCTAAGTTTCTATGTTATTGTGTTGTGTCTTAAGCTTGTACTAACAATAATTTGATACAAGGTTCCAATGCAAAAAATAAGAAGGAAATGTAGATGTCACAGAATCAACATATTGGTAGCTATAGAACCACGAGCAGTTCCCCCTATTCTGGGCATGGTCATAAATCACTACTCCACATGGGAATGTACAAACAGCTAAAATCATAGAATTGGGGTCATGATGGCAGCTACAATGACAGTTTCTTAAGCAAAGCATTATATTAAGCCATAGGGAAGGCTTACAAGATGAAATACCACCTACTAGCTTAGGCAACCTGGTCATGGTTACTGTTATTGGATACTTGGGGTGATGATGCTATCCGTTTTGTAGCTAGTGACAACCTTTCATAGCCTTGTTACCAGCATGCTCCCCTGCAGTCACTTCTGCCTGCAACCTCATGGAAGCTAATTTTAGAGTGGTGATGGGGAAAACACCCTTCCCTCTGCTGCTTTTCCACTGAAAACTGCCCCTTCCCAAATCTACTTTTCCTTTTGAAAGAGAAAGAAAGAGAGAGGGAGAGAGAGTCCAAAATCCACAGCTGGGTGATGCCTTTATTGGGGCCAGCCAACATGTCAAAACAAAAGCGTGGAAAGCTTTTGAGTTCTCCAGAACTCTTTATTAAACAGGATATTGTAAAGTTGGAAAAGGTTCAGACAAGGGCAACCAAAATTATCAAGGGATTGGAGCAACTCCCCTGTGGTGAAAGATTGCAACGTTTGGGACTTTAGGGTAAAGGTGAGCAAGAGGTCACATAACACAGTTCATAAAATTATGCATGGCATTGGGAAAGTGGATAGAGAAATGTTTTAGTGTTTTAAAATTCATGGACCGTCTATGAAACTGAATGCTGGACAATTCAGGACAGATAAAAGGAAGTACTTCTCCATGAGTACTATGGAACTTGCCCTCACAAGAGGCAGTAATGGCCACCAACTTGGATGGTTTTAAAAGAGGATTGGACAAATTCATGGAGGATAAGGCTATCGATGGCTGCTAGCTATGATAGCTATGCTCTGCCTCCATGGTTCGAGGCAGTAGTGCTTCTGAATACCAGTTGCTGGGAACCACAGGAGGGCAGAGTGCTCTTGTGCTTGGATTTCCTATAGTCATCTGGTTGTCCACTGTGAGAACATGATGCTGGACTGGACAGGCTATTGGTATGATCCAGAAGGTTCTTACGTTTTTATCTGGCAAGATGTTACAAGAGGGTTAGGGGGACTAGGAAAACAAAACAGTACAGCAAATTGTGGGATAACCAGCCTTGCATAACCAACAAGCTTAAGTCTAATTGATGCACAAAGGGTTAATACTATAGAGTAAGCTGTCCTGCCAGGCTTAGCTATGCCTACTTCCCCTCACCATGGGAGGAAATAGGTAATCAAGCTTTTGTTCTCCTAGGCTAGCAGAGAAGCTCAGGTTCTAAGCTGCTTGCCACTCTTCAGTTCCTATACCACTAATTTAGGAACTTTTACCACTTAAAAAAATTCCTTCCAGTAGCACCTTAGAGACCAACTAAGTTAGTTATTGGTATGAGCTTTCGTGTGCACGCACACAAAAGCTCGTACCAATAATTAACTTAGTTGGTCTCTAAGGTGCTACTGGAAGGAATTTTTAAATTTTGTTTTGACTACGGCAGACCAACATGGCTACCTACCTGCAACTTTTACCACTTTGTAAGCCAATTTTACTGCCTGTGCAACTATTCCGAAGCATGTGAATCTGACCTTTGGAGAGTTTGTCAGCAAACCTCTTTTTTTCTTTTTTTCTTTTAACATAACCAAACGTCTTTTTCTAGGCTTGGAGAAAAGAGAAACTTTGGAACTCACTTTAAAGGACATATTTTAAAGTATTTCCATGCTTTACTTTGCTGCATGTTTTGTGATTTTAAATCTCTGCTGGGGTTCTCTCACCAAAGAGTACATGCCTCAAAAATGCCCCTTGGCATCTAGGGAATTCTGCTTTCTATACCAACACAAATTTGGCTGATGTAGCCATGAAGTAGCCTCGCTTCATATGTCAAGAATTACACAACTTTTAGAAGACATCTGAAGGCAGCCCTGTATCAGGAGGTTTTTAAGTTTGATGATTTTGTTTTGTTTTTAGATATGCTGTAAGATGCTCAGAGTGTCTGGGGAAACCCAGCCAGATGGGCAGGGTGTAAATATTATTATTATTATTATTATTATTATTATTATTATTATGTCAGTTTGTAGACTCAGTTCCAAGAAGAAGATTGCAGGTTGGATATGGAAAGAAAGAAAGAAAGAAAGAAAGAAAGAAAGAAAGAAAGAAAGAAAGAAAGAAAGACAACACCCAACATTCTGTTTCACATGTTTGCGTACAATGTGTAAAGTCTTATGTTGGATTAACCTCAACAGTGTAGCACATGTCTTTTTCAGCACTTGGGTGTGTAGAACTCCTCTGTGTCTTGACAGACATACCCAGAGATGGCATCTTCCAAAGCATGTATAGACTCATTTCTTTCCTTTGACCATAAAATACACAATCTGCTCTCTTAATCTAGACTGGCTTCTACACAAAAAGATTATATAACCAGTGGCCTGCATTGCAGCAGAAATGAAACCCCAAACCAGCTCTCACATTCTCCCATGTAAACTCCCTACATTGCACAACTTAACCCCCGGAAGACACTGCTCCTGCCTTCCCATGATGAAAAGCTTCTTGCTTTGTCCTTTGCCAACAAAGTGATAATTGCCTGGGAACAGCCCAGCCTGGGAGGAAACCCATTTTAATCTGCTTTTCTTACTTCTTGTTTGCCAAATGTCTCCAATTCCCAGACTACTTATCAAATCTAGTGTGGTGGGGGAGAGAGAAATCTTGCCTCAAGACTGGCCTGATCACAAGGTGGCCTAAAGCTACATCTTAGGCATCAAAAATCAGAGTACAGGGCCTAAATGTCTTGGTTCCACCAGCGGATTGTGCTTAGCTGGGTTAAGATCATAAGAAGACCCCTGCTAGATCAGGCCATTGGTCCATCTCACAGCGGCCAGCCAGATGCCCATTATGGGAAGCCTGCAAGCAGAAGCAGAATGCGACAGCCCTCTCCTGACTTGTGATTCCAGGCAACTGATATTCAGAGGTAGACTGCCTCTGAGAGTGGAGATAGAAGATAGCCACCATGGCTAGTAGCCACCACAATGACTCAACTGGGGATACAACTCCTGGTCAATTTTGCATAAGTCAATTTCTTCCAATTTTCAGATTAATCTGTCAATTTTATTCTAAGTTCAGCATACATAAAAACGTATTTCAAAATGTCAACGGGCAGAGTCAGCATTACTTCACCGCTTCCCCAGTTGCAAATATAAGGCGGTATGCAATGCTAGCCCTGCTCAGAGTGGACCCATTGAAGTTACTAAACAAGATCAACTTAGGCCCACTAATTTCAATGGATCTGCTCTGAGTAGGACTAGCATTGGCTACCACCCAAAGTTTCTATGAAATATTAGTTGCCAACCAGGGGGTTTTTATTGTTTGCACTAGGGAATAACAATAGGGATGTCATCTATAGTTAGGGTCAGAGTTGAGCCTTAGGAAAATGCTGGAGCATTTGTTCAGGGGTGGAACAAAGTAGACACAATTGTTGTCATGGCCCAGCCTGAACAGAAAGCCACACTAAAAGATTGATTTTTTACAAAAGTGGAACAGATATCATGTGGCACTACCGGTTTTTCTTTTCTTTCACTTCTGAGCTAAACTAACACGTGTGTTTGCAGAGTGGCAAAGCTGTCTCTTGTCCCTCTCCCAGTTGTCGCATTTGCACAGGGCCCTTTGGTGCCACAACTAGGATTTCCTTGGGAGCGTCAGGGCAGGGTGATCCTCCCTGGGGAACATCAAAGCCTGCAGATGAATGACAGATAGTTGAAAGCATGTTCTACTCTCCCTGGCTTGATCCCTTTTGTCAGTCTGACCTCTTCCCTTTTTAGCTCCATCCAACTATGCAGCAGTAAAGTTTATATTTCTCTCCCGCTGCCAAGATTGTGTCATAACCGTTCCTGACTCCATCGCTGGCTTCAGATCAGTCTTCTGCTAGACCTACTCCAGAATACCTCTTCCCTGAGCCCCTTGTCATATTACTACCATGCCAAGTGACACGCTGTGATGTGGTCTCTGCAGTCCATACCCCTTCCCCACCCCCTGAATTCCAGGTCCCTCTCACCCCCTTCCCATCCGGTCTTTTCTTGGAACCATCATAACAACTCTTCCTTTGAACAATGTTATAGTGCAAAACCCTTCAAGAGTATCAAGTGCAGGTTTTAGATGGGAAATGTTGGCTCAGCACTTGCACCGTGGAATAAAATGAACACATACCTAAAATGGTACATATACCACAGTGATCCACTAATGGCAACCCATGTCAAAAGTCTAGATTTTGGTGAATTTCCTTAAAAATTGCTCAAAAACTCCCCTAGTGCGTGGGGATGGCAGAGCTGGTACCTTTTAAATGCAAGTTCTGAAATTTCCTTGTATTTTGGTTGCCTGTGATGGGTATTGTGATCCAGATTGTTGTCCCTGTTTCTGAAGAGTCACCAGTGATTGGCTGACTATAATCTATGCTGACACTGGCTCACTGTGTTTCTCAGTAAATCAGACGCTTTCCTGTAAATGATGCCGATTCATTGACCATATGACTTGGCATCTTGTTCAGCAGTGAGTACACACACGTGGCAATCCATGCCGGGACTGAAAAGCTCTTTTGTTTCATTTTGCTTTGTTGTGTTCCTTCCCTTGGGGAAAATGAAGCTACCTATCTGGCCTCCCATAACCTTCCTGAAAAACTCATTTGCTGTTAGGGAAGTGGAAACCTGTGGCCCTCTAGAAGTTGAGAGACGACAACTCCCATAAATCTTGCTCCTTGGCCATGCTGACTGGGGCTGAGGGGAGCTGTCCTTTGAAATTCACTCTCCTCCAAATTTTGTGATGCAGTTCTCCAAACAGAAAATGTATTACAGAACTGTGTATATGAGAATGGGTACATAAGAATGCATACCTCAGTGAAACTCACGTACAAAAAAAGCATTATATATGGGGGAAATAGCTTTGCAGAAATGTGTCTGTTGTGTGGTCTTGCCTGCCTGCCACTCTTTCCCCTGGAATCTTCATTTGGGAGACTTGCCCAGAAAATTATCTCACAGTGTAGCCTTGTCTCCTCCCTTGGCTACAGGAGGCCCTGAAACAGGAGTCCAATTACTGCAAATGGCATCTCCATCCTAGTTGAACTGAAGGCCTGGGCCCAGCACACAGGCCTGAAACATGCCCCTGTTTCACTCAAACAGTTCCCACAGAGCCAATAAACAGGCTTGAGAAATCGGATCTTTGCAAATTCCAGGTCAAACCAATCTGATCTGCACCTCCTGGAGTAACAGCTGGATCAGAACTCAGCTATCCACCCTCTTACAAAACATATCAAACTAAGATTTTAAAATGTGTATTGTGAGAGAAAATTCATGTAGGAATTTCAATGCAATTCTAAATGTGAATTACTTTTTTAAAATCACAAAAACATTTCAAAACAGCAATTCAGATTCATGCTGGAACAAAACAGAGCAGCCCACTTGAGTGAGCACCACAAAGAAAAGTGACCCACAGCTGTTTAATCTTTCAGTGGGCTCTTAGGCAAACTTGGTCCCTCCCTTTTCTCCACTGCCCATTCTTGTCTCTTCCTCTGGCCTTAATCTGTGCACTTGCCAGGGCTGGCTCTCCCATTTGGTAGAGTGAGGCAGAGTTGGGGCAACATGAACGGGCAGGAAGTTGTTAGTTACTGGTGCTGTATTTTTATTCCCACGAAGAGGGGCTTCTGGGATTATCTTTCTCAGGTGCCAAAGTAACTTGACTGGCCTTGGGTATGCTGCAACTTGACCTAGGGGCAGGCGTGATGTATGCCACCTCAGGCAGCAAAATCGGAATAACATTGGAGGGCTGTGGAATTTAACAGTGCAGAATTGTTGGGGGCTTGGCAGTCCCCCAACAATGCCTACTCATGGCACCAGCCCCATAGCTGGTTCACCTATGAATTGGTCTCATGGCCTAGTCCTATGTGATTGTTTAGAATGTCCCCAGCTTGCCATCACATAGTGAAGTGAAAGGTCATGCAGACTGTACAAAGGTTTCGTCTGTACAAAGAGTCTGCTTTATACATCCTTCCTGGGTGACTGGTGCAATCTCCCAAATCCACGATTAGCCCTCTTTTTCTACAACTGCAAAACTCCAGGTGATGAGAGCAGTCATCAAGGGATGAACAAAGGAACACTGAATCTGTTGGGGATATGACTTTCCCATTTAACATCTTCCTAGTCCCACTTGCATTTTGCATGAAAATATATTTCTGCATATATTGCACTCTGCAAGAAGGTGAGGAAACACAGCTATAGCCTCACTGCAACTATGCACAGGTCTGCTTCTGCTGATCTGCGGCTGCCCACCTAGCTGCGACTTGATCGCTCAGACTGGAATGTTCTGTATGAAGAGGGGATGACTCTTCATACAGCTTCAAGGGCTTGAATGGCAGAGGGGGAATCAGCAAGTGCCATCTCCATAAATACCCCATATCCCCACCCCACAGACACACTGGTTTACAGTCCTTGCTGATGCAGGAATTTGAGAGTTGGCCAAAGCATCTATTTTTAGCAAAGGCCTACAGCCCAGTTATTTATTCTTATTTCTTTTTTAGGCTCAGGCAGTTGGGAGGCTAATGTGGTGCAACGATGGAAATTTACAGTTCATGAACTTCACTGTGGCTCCTGGAACGGAGATAGGCTAGTATAAAGAGAAAAGGTATTTGCCTAGTTTCAGAACAAATCAGGGTTATGGTTGTGCACTTAGCTTGAGGTCAGGGTGGCCAAGTGTCCTGTTTTACAGAGGATGGCCCTCTGTTTGAAGGAGTTGAATTGGTATTCAAGATGATCTTGCCAGGTTAGAGAACTGGGCAAAAACAAATGAGTTTCAATAGGGACACATGTAAGATTCTACACTTAGGCAGGAAGAACCAGCTGCACAAATTTAAGATGAGGGACATCTCAGTAGTACAAGTGAAAAGGATCTATGGGTCTTAGTAGACCATAAGCTTAGCATGAGTCAACAGTGTGATGCAGCTGCAGCAAAAAAACCTAATGTTATTCTAGGCTGTGGTAACAGAAGTCTAGTATCCCAATCAAGGGAAGTCATAGTCCCACTCTATTCTGCCTTGGTCAGACCCCACTTGGAGCACTGTGTCCTAATAAATAGTTCCATAGTTTTGTGGAGTGCCTGACCCTTGCAGGACTCTGAGGAGCTAAATGTATCAACTTTCACTTTCAGAAATCCTGGGAGTTGGGTGGGGGCCAGGAGACGGTGCTTGGAGCGGATCAGGCATAGAGTTGCCCAGGAAAGCAGAGGTCAGCACAAAGCCCCGCAGCAAGAAATTCCACCTGCCAGCAACCACCTTGCTTCCCAAGCCTGTGGGTGCAGCTGAGGAGCCATTATACAAGCTGCGCTGTGTAAAGTGGCTTGCTGAGATTAGGGATGGATGAGTCTGCCAATGTCCAGCCAGTGTCATTTTTACACGCTCTGGCCTGGGGCACTGCTTGGAATGAACTAGTTTGGTTTAACCATTTTCACTCAATTGGTTCAGTCATCTCCAAACTGCACCTGAAAGTAGTTCCTGCCCTGGCTTCCGCCTTGGATGAAAAATTGTTGCTCTCAGCTTGGGAAATCCCCAAATCCTTTGCTGATAAAATCAACCCATCTTCTCAGCATCAGTTCCAAGTGCAGGATATGTGGTTCAATGGTTCATAAGCAGAGTTCTAGGATACATGGCTAAGGAAATGCACTGTCCCAACACGCCCCTCCCACTCTGTTTCAAAGAAAAGTGGGACACCAGTTCTCACCCCAAGTGAGAAGACTGCTTGCAAGCAAGTGCTACTTCAGGCAGTGAGGTGATTTGTTCATGCTGGTGACAGGACCTATATCCAACCTTCTGAATCTCCCTCTGACTCCAACCCAGCTGGCTCTGCCAATGGCCAGCTGCTTTTGGGGGGGGCTATCCTTGCTCTCAGGAGGTGGAGGACTTGACCAGCTCCCCCTACCTCCATCCTGGCCAGGTCTTCTGGTGAAGGCAGGATGGAAGCTTCCTCCTAATTTGTTAATTTGACATGATACAAATACAGTGGTATCTCGGGTTAAGAACGTAATTCATTCCAGAGGTCCATTCTTAACCTGAAACGGTTCTTAACCTGAGGCATGCTTTCGCTAATGGGGCCTCCCACTGCCACTGGTGGGCAATTTCCATTCTTATTCTGGGGCCAAGTTCTTAACCTGGAGCAACCACTTCCTGGTTTGTAACCCAAGGTACAACTGTCTCTAATTCCTCAAGCCTTTGTAGCTGGGACTGAACTCAGCAAACCTGCACCCTAATGTGCATGCAAAAAGATACACAAGTTAAAGCATGCACAGTAAGTCAAAAAGAAAACACAGCCAAGCCATTTGACCTCTAGCTTGGCAAATTCTGCTCAGATTTTCTGTTTCACTTCCCTCTTCTATATAGCTGAAGGAGATTCATGAGGCCCAGAGCTTGCATGGGTTGGTTGACTTCCAGCTCACTATAGCTTCTCTTCCTCCACTGAAATGTGTAAACTCAGAAGTTAACGCAAGTTCAGGGGTGTTATTTAAGGATAAACCTGTCCAAGGTTGGCTGTGCTAAAGGAGCAATTCAGGAACTTAGGCACAAATAGTTTGCTCTGCAGATCTTACCTGATAAAAAGAGATGTGAGCCCTAGATACTTATTTAAGCCACCCAAGTGCATCAGAACAGAAATTACTGCTGGCTTTCCCTGGTTGAAAATGTTGCTAACTGGGTACTCTGTGTCCCAGCTAGGCACTGACCTTGGCAATGAATAATCCACATACATCCCCATTAAACAGAACACATTTGGGGCAATAACTTTGCTTAAGGGTGGAGAGACTACACATTTGTAAAACGCCAAAATATTTTTATTTAAAAACAGTATACAAAAAATACTCCATAATATAATCTTTTAAAATCTTTTTGAAAAACCTTTTGCTTATAAACCAGCAAAATTTAAGTTTATAAAATTCAGCATGTAGACCTAAAGTCAACAAGGGGGTATTGAAGGATTTCCTGAGATTTCAGCTGTTGCATCCATGATTGCTTAGCTAGACTACTCAAAATCCACACCTCTAAAGGAGAGCAGGAGAGCAGTGGGCGGCAGGTACAGAAGCCTTTGCCAAGGGGTGCTCTACTGGTATTTTGGACTACAGCTCCCATCAGCCCCAGACAGCATGGCTGTGCTGCTTTGGCTGATGGGAGTTGCAGTCCAAAACATCTGGAAAGAACCAGGTTGGAGAAGGCTGGGCTACAACACAATATTCAACATCAGGATGCCCTTAGAATACCCACAAAAGCAGGTTATGTCCTTAGAGCTACTTTAGGAACTTGCCAATTAGCTGCAGAACCTTCTTACGCTCCTGAAAATGTACTCTAGAGGATCCCCCCAATGTTTGTGGGACTTTGGGGGAATAAGGGGCTACTGCCAAATGGGCCCAAGAAAAACCCACTTGGCACCATTAGTGTATCAAAAAAATAAAATAAAGGAGCCAGCTCAGCCCAGCGATTCCATCGATCAAAGCATTGCTTAGATCCCCTAATTGCTTCCAGCGGTTTGAGACCCGTGGGCACTGCCTGGCTTTAAAAAAAATAAAAATAAAATTAAGTTTACAGCTTTGTGCAACTTTGGATCCAAGTCACGCACTCTTTTTGAGTGATGCTTTCTATTTCACAGATGTTCAGAATGGTATTTTTTTATGGGACAGTGAAGATTAGAGAAATCTACATAATAAATGTGAACACTGATCTACATTCGAAGGAGACCCTGTTGCCAATTTCACTCTGAGTATCCAGAAACCAGCAGCTGTTCCAGCACCTTTCCACTTCTTGTGTGCCAAAGCCTGCATAGAGCTGCCTCCCCAACTTGTAAAACAGGGAGAAAAAGTTGGGCATGTGGCAGCACGTCCCGCAAGCACATTGTCTTGAATCTGCGACCTGGCCTTTCAGAGCAGACCTACCAAATGCTACAATGGAGAGACTTTATATCTGGTAGACTTGCACGTGTTCAGTTCCCCTCTTCTCAAAGGCTGCTGTGGGTCTTTCTCTAAGGGGAATGTCCGCAAGTGTTATGGGGGGTTGGGGTTGGCCTTCTTCAGCAGAGAGCTGGCCACCGCCAAAGCACCACCTTGCACAAACCGCACAAAATTGTCCCCAGCTAATGGTCCCATGGCATAGAGTCCCTTCTCGTGGACAGACTCGTAGGTAAAGGGATCAACATCGATGGGGTTCCTCTTGGAGCTGACCGGCTGCTCACAGTCCACCGCCAAGTCCACACCGTTGTTGGGCAGGTAGGTTAGGTTAGGGTTGGAGCCGATGAGGACAAAAGCCATGGAGATGTTGTGTATTTTCTGGTGGCCGCTCTTATCGCAAAAGATGCATTTCCTGTCCTCTGTGAAGGTGACGATGTGGTGCTCAGGAAGGCTGACATAGCATTCATATGGCCCCGGGTAAGGGATGGCCTGCTCTTTCATCATCTGGTGGACTTTGTGGTACTCGGGATACATTGTCTTAGGGAGCTGGTTGAAGATGAGGGCTGGGTCATTGACCTTTCTGCGGAAGGCGTGAATCACTGGGATGTTGCAATGGTGAGCAAAGAGGATGGCGTCTGCCGCAGTGAGCCCAGCGCCAACAATCAGGATCGGGTCGGACATCATGCCAATCTCCTTGTTCTTTACAGCTTCTTCAAGGGCGGAGAGTGTGTGGTGGACAAATGGAAGGTGCTCCCCTTTCACCCCTAAGTGGGATGGGCTGTCGTATGTCCCTGTGGCCAAAACCACATTTTCCGCATACACAGAGAAGGGCTGTGTACCACTGACCGTTGTGAGAAACCCGTCAACCTGGAAGAGGCTCCCACTGTCTACCTGGGGGTTGCTTTGTGGATTTTGACTGTTGTAGCAGGAGTCTACATCCACACTCAGTTTCTTTACAGACGTCACGAGAGTTCCACAGCGAAAGTTTTTCTTTAACCCTTTCTTTGCCACATAGTACTGATAATACTGGACTATGTCTCCTGCAGTCGCCCTGTTATTTCTGAAGCCCCTGTAACAAGAATATGACTATCAGTACAGACATATGATCAAGGAACACATTTCCTATGGCAACTTATTCAGGCTAATCTTCACCACCTTGCATTGCTCAGCAAGGTGTCATTGAGGCAAATTCAAGGTACTGTACACATTTTAACTTTTAAAACAGCCTACCTTCCACATTGGATCATCAATTATCACTGGACTATAACTCACATCATCCCTGATCACTGACCATGCTGGCTGGGGATTATGGGGATTGTAGTCCAACAATGTCTTGAGCCTCAAGGCTGGAGCATGCTGGTCTATGACCCTTAGCCAACAACCAGGGATGATGGGGCAACATTTGGGTACCAAGGCTGAAGAACACTGGTTCAGGCAGCATTGAACTAGGGGCACCTATGCTCTGACTTGGTATAAGTCAGCTGCCTAAGCTTCTACTTCAAAATACAGCTAGCTTCAGTGGAGTTCACTGCAAGGTGCCCAATTCATAATAACTACAGCTCACAGAAAAGAATTCATAATAACTACAGCCCACAGAAAAGAACGCCCAGTTATCAAATTCTGTGGATTGTATTCAAGGTTACAGTAGTTCCTTTTGCATCTTTGTTCTACTTATCTTTTGTGTTTGGGCTTGTACACTCAACTGACTGCTTGTTGACTCAGTCCGCACCTGCAGAACTGAGGTGGAACATCCCTTTTACAGTTAATCAGTTTTACCCAGAGGGCTTTTGGTGGATTACAAGCAAAACGCTAGGCAGAGGCAAAGCCACCTTTCCTCCCCATACCAGCCGAATAGTGCCTCCCGCAAGACATCCCAAATAAGGCATTTGAAAAAAATCCTTCACAGTGACTAGACTGCAACAAGAAGGACTTTTTTACATGCATTTATTTGCTTTTGTGCAGTCAAGAGGTTTCTTTGATCATGGATGGTCATAATAGGACAGGTAACATGATGCCTTGGATCTACTGGGCCTACTAAGTACATAGCCACTGTGAGGCAATGGTTAGAGTGTGGGACTAGCATCTGGGAGATCAGAGTTCAAATCCCCACTCAGCCAAGAAGCTCACTAGGTCAGCCTGGGCCAGTCTCTCAGCTTAGCCTACCTCACAGGGCTGTCATAAAATGGGGGAGGGAGAACTATGAGCACCTTGGAGGAAAGTTGAGATATAAATGCAAGAAATAATAAGAAAAGCTTCTCATTTGATTATTTTCATCCAAGAGCAAGCGTACCTTTTCTTCTTACTCAACCAGTCTTTGAACTGCAGGTCAGGAAGCCCCATCCAGTCTCCCTGGCTCAGTGTGAACATGGATCCCTCGATAGACTTAAAAAAGAATGAAGATATCACATAAATCAATGAATTGTAGCTGGAGATGGATGAAAACTGCACTGCAGTGTAGCAAGTCTCATGGGGTCTCTGGCCACCCCTTTAATTCCTTTGCCTATTCTAAAAATAAATGTGGGTGTTGCAAGAGATTAAGTGGAATGTTCAATCTTCTTTGGCTCTGCATATTTATGACAAGCCAACAGAGTAGCCTTCATCAACAGAGTGTCCACCACATGTTTGGACTTCAACTACCATCAATCCTAACCCACATGGCTGTGTTGGCCTGGGCTGATGGGAATTGTGGTCCAAAACATCGAGAAACCTGCCACAGGGACTAAATTGGCTTACGTCTAGCAAATCCAGCACATGCTTTCAACCATTATTTCTTCCTGCTGGAGTTCACTGATAGAACAGGAATACATATAAACAGCTCAGAACTTGTTCAGATAAATTGCAGTTCAAGCACATCCCATAACTCCATAGTTAGTTGACATATTTCAACCCTGAACAGGAAAAGTCTAGCCATCTTGCGGATTGCAATAGGCCAGGGATGGTGAACCTCAAACTCAGGGGCCAAATACACCCCCTCAGGCTCTTGGGATTCTTGCCTGGGTGGAACAGGTCCTGAAAGTGTGGTAATGTCACTTGCTTGCTGGGGATAGAGAGCTGTGGGTATAGCTCTCTGACTTTGTGTGGCTGAAAATTACCCTATCATTCAAAGGTAAGACCCATGCCCACTGCCCACTTTTGCCTGTGGTCCCACACCCTACAGACATGTGGTCCCTGGAAGGTTCTCTACAAGGTAATGTGGCCCTTGGGTTGTAAAAGATTTTCGACTCCTGTGATGGGTCATCCCTCATGGATGAAAATATCAGCTTGGGTTGAGCCTTAAGGGACCAACCACTTCTAAGATGGGTCAACAAACTGTTGCCACTGTTTTAAAGGATCCAATATATAGAATTGCACTTACATGCCAGGCTCCTCCAGGAAGGTTTTTGCCAAGAACCAGATGAGGAATGGCTCTGTCAGGTTGATGTGACCAAGCAAGGACCGAATCTGCAGTCCCACCAAAATCAGTATCTGGACGCATCAGGGCATCAAAAAGGAGAGCAACTGGGCTGGAGGATCGCCCTTCCAGACCTTCAGATAGGTACTCAATATCCTGGAGGGAAAGAGAGAACTCTTGATGAACACCAATCTTCTAATCATCACAAATTCTGGATTCAGAAGGCTTAGTTGTGGGCAGTCATCGGGAGAGCCAGTGTGGCATAGTGGTTAGAGTGTCAGACTAGGACCTGGGAGACCAGGGTTCAAATCCCCACTCAGCATGAAGCTCACTGAGTGACCTTGGGCCAGTCATTGCCTTTCAGCCTGAGTACCTCACAGGGTTGTTGCAGGGGTTAAATGATGAGGGGGAGAACCATGTGTACCACCTGGAGCTCCTTGGAGAAAAAAGTGGGCCATGAATGAATGAATGCTAGATGAATGTACAATCCCTTTCCTGTTTATTCTAAGTGGCACTCCTTATACCCTGGACGCACTATTTAATGCAAGGATAAGGAATGGAAGTCCTTATCTCCTTCACACATAAATACCTCACAGGCCACGTCTGACAGGTGGGCCACCCCATCCACTTTTCCATCACTTGACAGAACAATGGCATGAGACAAGCCATTTTTGCCATGTGGGTGATCAGACAATTGTCAGGGCTTACATAAGTACCACGTACCCCGGCAATTAGCCAATGGCTGCTTCTTGCAAAGGACTATCTCACAAAGTACTGGTGCCACCAATAAGCTGATTGATGGTGCCTACAACTCTTGCTTTGGCCCAGCTGTGTCTTTAGTCATCTCACACCTGACAAAGGGGAGGTGGGTGCCTCATTGGTGCCTACCAGGCAATTGCTTTAATATACAAAGCTGCCCTTAACAGGGCCAAGATCATGCTTCACTTGCTCTAAAATAGAGAATCATTTTAGAGCCCAAATTCCCTCTGTTGAAGGATGAACCAAGGGTGCTGAGAGCTGTACCAACCTGGTCTAAGATGGAAACCTCAGGTGTCTCTTCCAGTTTCCTTTGCAGAATGGGATTCGGATGAACAGGGTTCCTTCGGACATAGGGAATGTTGCCAGACAGTAGGTAGGATAAGCAGATCCCCGAAGGGCCATTTCCTGAAAGAGAAATTAGATGGCTCCATAAGGCACAGTGTTTTATCCAGAGATGGAGGCTCAGTTCCCAGGTCTTGGGAAGGTTCTTCAGCTCATCAAGCAGGCCCAAGACATTCTGCTGCTGGAGGCAAAGCATCAAATGTTCTCCCTCTAAGTCACAGGGTTCCAGAAATTGATCCCACATAGTTTGCCACCTGCCAGCCCCTGTTATCCAACGTGGTTTGGCAGGTAGCATTGTGCCGCAACACCAGCTTTCCTACAGAAGGGTTGCTGTTGCTTACTGGAAGAGGAAGGGGTGAGATGACATGGAGGTGCAAGAAGCAGTCCACCTGATGGGAAATTGTGATGGCAGCTCCACCCCACCCAGCAAGCATTCCTGCTAGCTGGTTATCTACTGTTTGACAACTGTGTTTTTTGTCCAACAGATTAAGTCTCATATGTTCCTAAGATAGCCACTTTCGTAAATCTACATAAGTCATAAAGTACACTCCAATTGAAGTTTACATCCCAACAATTCTCACACTCTGGAATCTGCTGTCAAATGTTTGCTACTGCAAAATCTTTGAAAGGCTAAGGCTGGTGCTGAAAACCAAATATAATTTATGCTGTGTTTTTTTAAAAAATGTGTTTTTAGTCACCAGCATTTTAAAATTGGTTTTGCTGCTTGTGATGTTTTCAAGCTTCATTTTTGCATTCGTTCAACACTGCCTTCATGCTGCACATTGTCAGGTTCTGCCATTTTTATCCTGCTTTTAATTTTTTCCTCCACGGCGCCTAAGGAGCAACAGCTGTTGGGCACCTAATGAATTTAGAACAAAAGTAACAACATCTTCAGCCAGCCTTGGAAACCAATAACTATTTCAGGCAGAGTTTCCACAGGGTTCAGTCTCCCAGCCTCCTTCTGAGTTGGATTAATATTTTACAGGGCCTTTGCCTAACCATCTGCCACTTTTTGAAGCTCAGTTCCTCACTAGAATGTGTCCAAACCAACAGCTGCATAATGCAAGAAAGCTTGTTAGGGTGACACAGCAACCTATCAGAGCATTAGTATCCCTATGCTATTTGGCACAGTCACCACATTGTAAAAGCCAGCTGGGAGGAGAGATTTCTCAAGGAGCTATATTTAAAGTGCTCCCTCTCCCCTCCCTGCTTAGCATCAACCAAAGAAGGTCTCAGGCATGGACACTTAATATTCGCAGGGACGCCATCCACCCCCATGCTATCCAAAGCCCGTGGGGTGCTCAGGTGACCAGCTGAAACTTCTGAGCCCACACTGGTACTTCTTTGGCTGCAAAGAACATTTATGGCCAATTTGGTCCAGTAAAGTTGATGGCCAAAATCCACTGCATTTACTGTAAGTGCCTGCTTCTCATCTGAAGTTGAGCCTGCATAGCACGGGTTATGTAAGGCTCCTCTTTGCAAAACAAAAACAAACAAACCTCTGAACAGCCAGCGGCTAGATGCTCACAGATAAGGGCTGGCAAGCTTTTTAAACTGCTGAAAAGGGGAGAGGGAGAAAAGGAAAGGAGGGGAGGTAGGCAGGCAATTAGGCTGCAGTCAAGAACCAGTGGGCAGAAATACTCAAAAGTTCCCTCTCTGCCTTCTGTGCAGGGGAAAGAATATTTACAACCTGGCTCAGGGCAGCAGTGTGGTGCCCTTCATATGTTAGGGACTACAACTCCCATAATCTATGACTATTGGCCATTTTGACTGAGGATGGTGGCAGCTGTAGCCCCAAACATCTGGAGGACACTACCTTGGCTACTCGTGAGCTTGCTCATACAATTAAGATGAGATGGGTGGTGAGGTTTTTGAGCAACAGAGGTGGAATAAGGGAAGCTTAGACCAAGTCAGACCACCCACCCCCATCTTAGTAATTGTAGCACTAATGAGCAGCAAACAGTTTTCCTACATAATGCTTCCTTAATATAAAATCCACCTAATTTCTCTGTCGCTACTGAGGAACCTTTGTCTTTCATAGGGATGGACAAAACTGTCAATTTCTGTTTCTCTCAGTTGCTGTTTTCCAATCTTAAATTCCGTTGTCACATTTACACGCCAGCATATATATTTTTTAGGTCCTCACAAAATACTTGGCAGCATTTTAGTGTGCATTTCTCCTAATGTGCATTCTTTTGCACATAATTCTCCTCTTTATTGCAATCAGTTTTGCCAATTACAATACAATTTTCATGCCATCTTCAGAAATATATTCATTTTTGTCAGACTTCCCCCTCATATACACATTTTTGTGCATAAAATGTATGTAAATTGGAGAGCTGTATTGCAAAATTTGGAGAAGTGTGAATTTCAAAGGACAGCTGTGTTTTGCTTCACATATAGTTCTGGGAAGTGAAAATTAGGTGGGCTCACATTAAAATGGAACCAACCCGAATTTCTTCCCCACTCCTGTGCCTAACAATGGAGACATCTGGATTTTATATTTCCAAAAATATGGAGGATCAACTATTATTTGCCTCTCCTTGCCAGCAGTCCCTCATGAGACCTCAAAGCACTCAGCAAAGCCTCATCTGAATGCCTCCACTCTCTCCTCTAACATTCAGTCTTAAGGCTGTTGCCTAAATGCAGATTCCCTCTGTGGCTCCAGTATCAGCCAATTCCCATCCCCTTATTGTGATCAAGGGATCTGGAGATCTCAAAACTCTGCATGCGCTTTCATAACATTTTGGTTTGCTTAATAAAAGGATTGTCCTAATGTGGATGTTGTTGACGTTTCTCTTTGGGGGTAAAACCTTTGCATTTTTATATAACTCTTCTGTTTCCCACAATCTGTGCCCCTGTAGGGGGGAAAAAGTGTCCCGACAAATTCCCGTTGCATGCAAAGAACTGCAACCCCATTTGTTTCCAGTAAGCAAGCTTGTGTTGGCAGCAAAAAGGGAGGGGGGATACCAGGACACTTCTTGCTTTAATTATAGCTCTTGGAACAGCAGCTTGAGGCTGCTGAGCACATGGTGGCCTGGCGAGATAACGAGCCCTGGCCAATGTAGATTACTCCCTAGAGTGTATATTTACCTATGATCACTACAGGAAGAGGCTTGGCACTGCTCTGCTCCAGATGTGCATGCAACATGGTTGGGCGCTCACTCACTCTCCGCCAGCAAAGTTCGAGGACCTCCAAGTCAGTCTGCAACAATAAAGCCAAGTAAATATTTGTTATCACCAGAACATTGTCCTCTCCCACCACCCTGATAATGGTGGAAAGCTACTTATGTGCATGTAAGAGCAGAAAGAAGTACCATCAGCAACCAAGTTTTTAAAATGGAAGAATTCTGCATGCTATGACCACTCCACTTTTTGAATTTGCATCTTGGGTGCAAAGCTCTGTCTTTCTCCCCACTCCGAAAGGTGAGATTCAAGTGCTTTTTAGGAGGCCTGTGACACGCCAGCTTTCTGCAACCTGCAGTTCCTCATTGTCAGAGGAAGAACTTCTGAAGAACCGCTGAGAATCCTGAGCAATTTAGAATCCTCATCTACACACTGACATGAGTAGAGTAGGGTCTACAGTGCAGACACTGTACAACAAGGACAGCAACACTGGGGGTGGCATGGGGTGGGGAGAAGCTAGGACGGTCTCCTATTTGCATGGGAAATTAGAGCTTATATGATGCCCAATATCACTTCTATGAGGAACTACCACCATCACCACCAGCCAAGAAGCAGGTCATTCTTCCAACCACAAGCAATGTTCAAGTCAACCCAAAGGTAGTAATGCAACCAAATTCAAGCTATAGGTTCTCCTGGTTTTCTTCTCTTTGCTTTTCCAGAGTTGTTGAAAACCAAGAATCTTCAAAGCATCAAGAATGGAGAGGGGAGTGGGTGAGCTGGGGGAGAAATTCTTGAAATAACTCTTCTTTTTGGAGGTTCTTAGTCACCAGAGCACATCTCATTGAATCAGGCACTTCTGCTGTGTTCATCGAGGAGAGAAAGAACTTTGACAACTTTCCAATAACATTTCCCCATAAGTTTGGCAAGTAGCCCTGGGCTTGGCATGTGGCTCCTCAAAGTCATTGCATTACTGTAACCTGGAGGCAGAATGTGGGGTCCTTCAGGGCTACCAGGCTGAAAAATACAGCCACTGCTTTAAAATTGTATGAAGCCAAGTTCTAAACTAGGTGTGTGACACAAGCCCTGTTGAGGCACTGTGCCCTTCACAAGATGAGGGGAAGTCTGGGGATGAGCTACTGAAAGTCTGCAGATGAAAGCATGCCATACTCAAGTAGGCTTTCCACACTCACAAACTAGAACCCTGATTAACCAGGTTCTAGATCACACTGGAATACCAGTTGCTGGAAACAACAGGAGTAGACAGTGCTCTTGTGCTGGAGTCCATAGGCATCTGTTTGGCCACTGTGAGAACAGGATGCTGAATTAGATGGGCCATTGGCTGGATCCAGCAAGCTCTTTTTATGAAGCATGCATTTTTTCTTTTTTTTCTTTAACAAGATGTATATATTGCTTAATTGGGGGGGGGAACCCTCTAAGTAAAAATGCTCTGTATTATTTTATAAACTAATTAAAAATATTCATAAGAGAATGCTGATAAAATCAAGCAACATTAAAAACAGGTAGACATAACAGAAAGATTTCCGAATGTAGATAAAATCGGCAGTCATGAATACATAATTTCGAAATCATGTCTGGATAGACTTGCCTAGACAAAAAAGTTTTTAGTGGGCGATGAAAGCGACTGTCTGGCATCAATAGGCAGCTCATGCCAGAGCATAGATACTGTCATGTTAAAAATTCATTGCGAGGGCAGAATGTGCATTAAGACACATTTGGAGCAGTGGGAGTACTGCAGATCGAAGCAGTCAAGTGGGCACATATGGAAATCCCCGCAGAACCTCTTGGGGAACTCTTGGTAGTTCCACCTTCCTCAGAAGTTCAGGGTGGGTTTGGAGGCCTGGAGAGGGCTTTCTCTGCGGCAGCCTCTAAGTTGTGGAAATCCCTCCCCACAGATGAGCTGGGCACCTTCACTGTACAGTCTCCATCATATGATGAAGACCCACCTCTTTACCCTGGCCTTTGGCCCCTGAGAAATTATATTTTTAGGACCTGCCCTATTCTTTTGACTGTAACTCATTTTAAACTGTTTTTAATGGCGGGTTTCAAATTGTTATGACTTGCCCTGGCACCTCAGGCAGAAGGGCGGGGAATAAATCAAAACCATCACCATCATTCATCAAGTAAAATGGTCCCAAGGTGTTCAAAGTTTTAAATATCAGCAAAAGCAGAGGAGGCTCCTAATTACTTGCTTCAGCCCCCAACGTGGTGGGTTCTGGGGATGGGCAGCAAGGAAGTGACAGGGGGCCAACACCACACAGTTTTGTGAGTGTGTGCATGTGAAGGGTTGAATAGGCCTACAGGAGATCTTCAATTAGGACCTTTCGCATTGGTTTCCTATAGCTTCTTTGAAGACTGGGGAAGTAGTGCTGGGAGAATAGGTTCAGCCCTTTCCTTCATTGCCCTTTTCCCAATCTTAGCCATTCTTTGCCTGCCTGTCCTATCCTGAGACCTACCAGCTAATGTGGAGGAGGAGAAGGTGATTTTGATAAGGGCAAAGGAAGCCACTTCCTCAGTCTTTAAAACAGCCACAAGGGGGTTTCCTTTTCTCTTCTCTCTCTCTCTCTCTAATAAAAACCCAAACAAACCACAAGAGATCTTAATCACTGGTCACATCCAATTTAGCCTTAGGAGTATAGGGTAAGGAAAATATCCCAAAGATTCTCAGTTTGTTGTGCTCAAATCCATGTATTTCATTACATATAAAGATTAGTTCCTTTTCCCCAGTCTGTGTAAGAGATGAAGAACAAATGATTTAGAGTGGTATGAACTGTGACTGAACATACACAGAAGGCATATTGTAGCTGTGATTCACTTTCTATGTTCTCTTTGGGGTGCTTTCCTTGTCTGACTCTTCTTCATAAAAGGGACAGGTGAAATATATTAATCCATTATGTTAGAATGATTATGGTTAGTCACATGTAACTTCCCCATTTTTTGCCTGATTCAGCAAGGTTCATCTTAGGTCAAGGACAAGGAATGTCTCTCTCCAGGTGCTGTTGGACCCCAACTCGCATCAGCCTGGCCAACATAGCCAATGGTCAAGGGTTAGGGGTGTTGTAGTCCACAGCAACATCTAGAGGGCCACCAGTTCCCCACCCATGCTTCAGGTTCTTAATCAACTACATGCATCCCACAAGGACAGCTGCCTATGTAAGATTATGCTACGATACAGGGTCGCAGCAATCTGCCATGTTGCCCCATCACTCTTATCTCTACGGCTTAGCTTCTAACTGCTTGTCACCTTGTAATCAGAAGCACACACTAACAAATTTGACAACAATTCAATCCTGTGTCAACAGCAGTTGCTCTGGGAGGAGGAGTGTATATCACTTCAAGAAGGGTCTCTTATCTAGGCCAACCTTAACCTCAAACAGCCTTATCCCTCCTGGCCCTTTCGCTCCTGAATATTCATTTCTCATCGCTGGAGGCATGCAGGTTCCCAAGCAGACAATGTAGTGCCTTATTGCCACTTTGCAAGGTCACATACCAGGTTCCCATGAGTCAATTGCTTGGCCATGAGGGTTTCAAGGTAAAAGAGGTTAAGCAAGGGGATTAGAGGGGAGCATTGAGGAGCATTTGGAATAGCAGAGTTCCTCAGTGAAGGACTGCACTCATAGCTCAGTGGTACAGCAGCAGCTTTTGCATGCAAAAGGTCCCAGGTTCAATCCCTGGTATCTCTTGGTAGGGCTAGGAAAAAGCCCTGCCTGAAACTCTGGAGAGCCACTACAGATCAATGGTCTGACTCAATATAAGTCAGCTGCCTATGTTCCTTATACAGTGAGCAAGATAACAAGGGGTGGACATCTACAATCCCCACTGGGTATTCTGGCGAAGGACAGTGGGCTCAAGCTAGAGATGGAGTCAAGGTCTGCAGTGCCTGAGCTCAGCCCTGGGGAAGGACCATAGCTCAGTGACAGAGCATTTGTTTTGGATGCAGACAGTCCCATGCCCAAAGTCTGGCATCTTGAGGTAGGGCTGGGAATGTCCCCAGTCTGAAACCCCACCAATCAGTACAGGCAATGTGGAACTAAATGGGTCCTGTTTTCTGGGTCCTTGTGGCTTTACCTAGCTGCACTGACAGAGCTCTAGACAGCACTGGACAACTGGGTTTAGACACCCTTTTAATTTCCCACAGTGACCCTAGAGAGACACTAGATTGAGTGCACTGTGAGAAATGAAGAAAGGCCATATTCAGCCATCTAACTTCAAGAAATTTGTTTCCTGAGGCATTAGGTCTTAACGGAAGAAAGATAAGCTTAGCAAGAGGTGAGCTGCTTAAGAAAAGAGATCAGATTATTTGAAAGGTAACAAAATAAGGCCTTGAACAGAACAAAGAATTCTATATTTTGTCCAGCTGTAGCAGATAGCACTCCGCAAACATCTTAAGAGGGCCAAGTCTTGCCGTACATTAAGAACACGGTCTGAATGCAAAATGCATGTGAAATATTGCCCTTTCTGTCCTCATTTTATGGCATGCCATAGTTGCCAGCAGAGAAAAAGTGTGCTAAATACATAAACCTGAGTTTATTATTCAGGATGACTTCAGAGTTGTGAAATTGGCCTTTGATCCCTTGAAATTGCTCTCTGGTATCTTTCCACTTCTTTGTAACTGATCTGCAGATTCCACATTCCCGCTGCCAGCACCAATATGCCGCTGTGGTGATAACATTACATAACCGTACTCAGCAGAGAGACCTCCCTCTGGCCAAACCATGCCAGGCTCACCCATGTTTGGCCACTGGAGTCAGGGAGATGCTTCCAAGTTGAAGAAACTGTATCTTAGAAATCCTACAGCAAAGGTAACCAATAGCATTTCTGCTACCAGTGATTTCATTAGGACCCAAATAGCCTTTTACAAAAGCATTTTTCCGCCTGCACACAGCTATTTTGAAGCGAGAGGGTTAAAAAGTTCTGCCAGCCATACCAGTCTGACAGGTGCGTCCCAAGAATGCAAAGTCACATGCCGTCAGACACTCCTTTGATTCCGGTCACTTCAGTTTTGAATATACAGTGGAGAGACTGTCCCCTTGGCATTTTCCCACAGTTCCACACCACCTTCTGCTTTCTAAAAGGCAGAAACATCTCTGCTCCCATTTGTCAAGAGAAGTGCTTCCCTTCTAATCGGCTGATTCATACCCAAAAAAAATTCCCTAGCATGAACGAGGGTGAATTCTTGGTTATCTGGTGCCTTTCTCTTTTTAAATCACTTATTTCTTACAGTGCGGACTGGCAGTCAACTTAGCAAACCTTTTTGGCATCCTTCTAGTGTCATCTTACCTTGGAAAAAGTCTGCTGGATCTCAAGGAAGGCCTGTCAGTCACAGGTGTCCCTCTAGCCAGAGGAGAATGAACCAGCCGGCTGTTTCGAGAAACTGCTTCTCACCCGCCCTCCCTTCTCCAGCTGCAGTTTAAATATATTACAGGCAAGTCTCCCGTCCAGAGGAGGCGGGGCTCAGGGCCTTGTGGGCAGGGCTAGGAAACTCTCTCATAAGCATGAGTCAGCAGCAGCAGCAGCAGCCGCCGCCGAGTCATTTACGCACTTTTATGAATGGAGCTACACAGTAACTGTTGCTGGGGGGGGGGGGGGAGCGCGGACACAGCCTAGAATGAAAAAGAACTGGATAAAAAGTAGCCTTGACACACCCCTGGTGCCAAAGGCATAGAAGACCATTTTGTAGATTTTGTTATCTAGAGCCAAAAGGATAGTAACAGTGCAGTGCTGGGATTACTGAACACAACTGATCTGAGAGCAAGTCCCACTGAACTCAGTGGAACTTATTTAAATCACTTTAAAACAAATGACAGTCAAGAGGTTAGAGTGGATTCTTAAAATAAAATAAAAAGGGAAGTTGCTCCAGAAGTAGAAATACTGTAAAACTGCAGTTTCATTATATATATTTTTACTGGTCTTTAAAAGCCTGGGCAAATAAAAGCCCTAGCCTGATACCTAACACTTAACAAACTGCACACCAGCATCCAGTCATTGGAGTCAGGGCAGCACCACAGGAGAGGCTGTTTTCCTAGTTGAAACCCATCTAGCATCTGGAGGGTGGGGCACAGAGGGCACTCCAGAAACCATGATCATAACAATACATGTAATATTCTTAACATGTTTATTTCAGATGCAGCAATTGTCTATAGGTGCCAAGTGGCATGCACCAGTGATGGGGGATGTTTTTCAGCCCAAAGGCCACTCTCCCTCATGTGCAACCTTCCAGGGTGGGATTTGTGTGCCAGTGGGGGGCAGAGCCAGAAGGAAAATGTAGGCGGAGCAAAATATGTGAATCCTCCTTTTGTATCGTCAGCTATATTTCAGCCACACAAGTATTAGAGGTTTTTTACACATACAAACACCTCTCCCTCCATACAAGTTCTTTATGGCAACACATAATTTAGCCCTGTATCTGTTATGCCCAATACCTTTTTTAAAAAAATGTTACTACTGTGACCCTCTTGCCCATTTCCTCTCCAATGCTTTTGTAGAGACTCATCATTGCCACTAATTTTATAATCTCTAATTGCTCCCCTATTTTCCTAATTAGTTCCGCTCTCTTTTTCATTCTGTTTTTATCCCAAGTTTTAGCATATCATACCCTTGCAATGGTTCCTATACTGCAAAGTTTGTATATGAGATCATCGAACAATCTCTTGTCAGTGCACCTAGTTCAATAAGCATAACCGTTGGGCTACTTCCACATGTCTCTGAAAGTCGGCTGGATTTTGGTTCACATCTTGTTTTGGAAAGTGCAAGTGTAGGTTTGTCCTTAAATACAAAGTGAATCCATTTTCACCCCCTCTGAACTCCCACTAAATCTTCCCTTCTCTAGGCTAAACTTACTCAGCTAAACTTACTCCATAGGACTTGTAAATTCCTGTTCTCAACTGTTCTCCATAGGGCTTGTAAATTACAAGGCAGATAAAATTCTGGACTATGACCTGGGAGACCAGGGTTCAAATCCCCACTCAGCCATGAAGCCCACTAGGTGACCTTGGGTCAGCTGCTATAGTTCAGCTTCACCTACCCCATAAACTGGAGAGGGGGAGAAGGTGAGATATAAATGTCACCATCATCATATTATTTTCTTTTAATATGGTGTGTATTTTTGTGTTTTTTTATTGTAAATCACTGTGTGATCTTTGGATGAAGGACAGTATTAAAAATAAATAAAAACAACCTTCTATGCATCACAAAAACTTAGCAGCCTCCATTCCCCGCTCACTTTCAAAAATTGCAAAATAGAGGCAATCAGCTGACTTGCCGAAATCTCAGATGCCTTTATGCCTAGGCAACGGCTTGTCCAGAGAACTTCCCTCCATTGTGAACACTGCCCACACTCTTCCTGTTGCACTGTGGAGCTGCAGTGAATGGGTGAGATCAGCGACAAAAATTTCATCACATCATGGCCAAGAACTTTCACCAGGTCCCATGCTGTTTGTACAGTGGAGGAAATTCCATTTATGCTATGAGGTAGTTGCAGCATACCTAGAGAAGAGGATGTTGGGCTGCTTCCACATGCCCAGCCCCACATGCTTCTAAGAATCTGCTGCCTGTAATGCTGGTAGGTTATGCACTCATTACAAAATACAGAGCGAGGGTCTGGTTGATGCTTGCCACAGTGTACATTCCATAGCACACCCTGCCTTGGCCCGTTCAGTCCTGCTAATGAGAAGTTTGCTAAATAGTTGCAGTAAGAATACGTGGAGTGCCACCTGCAGTTATTGCTTCTTTCACTGGCTGGGCTGGGCCCCTCCACCCCACCCTGTGAGGAAAAGCAGCAGGATCACCTTCTCTAGGGGCAATGAGATCAACTGGGCCACACACAGAGACACCAGGGTCAGCACCAGACTTGGGCAGGTCTAGGCATGGCACTGCTTGCAGCCACTCACCAGCACCACCCAACCTGCACAAGGTTCACTTTACATGCCTACTCTGTTGCTTCTGCTTTGGCAGCAGTACCACTCCCCACTGCCCCCTGCCCAATGCTCCCACAATGGTCATGTGGTGGCATTTTTGAATGGGAACTAAGTTTGGCTCCCATTCATGGTACCATCTTAAGATACCCCAGCTCATTGATCTATGGAATCCCATCCAGACTTTATTTCTATGAACTCAGTAAATTTGTAAATCAGTGCAGTGTAGTGGTTAGAGTGTTGGATTAGAACCTGGGAGAGCAGGGTTCAAATCCCCACTCTGCCATGAAGCTCACAGGAGGACCTTGGGCCAGACACAGTGTCTCGACCTAGCCTACCTCACAGAGTTGTTGTGAGGATAAAAATGGGGAGAAGAACAATTTTTGCCATACTCAACTCCTTGTAGGAAAATTAGGTTAAATATGTGATTGATTGATTGATTGATTGATTGATTGATTGATTGATGATAGATAGATAGATTGATAGATTTACTGGAAAACATCCAGGGGCTCAGTTTGGAGGTTGGGAAATGGTGGTATGACAGGATCAGGCCAGAGATGTGCCCTGAGACGCTTGGCCAGTGCTTCACTTGGCCAACTCCTGGTGCAGGACCTGCTCCCGCACCAGCAAAACAGATGGGGAAGAGAGAGAAGACAGATAGGCTTTCAGAAGGGTGCGGATTAACTAGTACAGTGGATATTAAAGATGACTTTTTTAAAACCACAAAGCTATTTATGCCCCAGAGCTGACTGAGGCAGAAGGGTGCAACTTATGATGAAACAGATTGTCCTTTGGAAATCCTCATCTCAAAACTTACTTTCTGGAAGAGTATATGTACCAAAAAGCAGCCATCTTTTGAAATTTGCACTTTTATAATGCAGTTCTCCAGCCACGTAATGGGTACAAAAATGTATAAACTGGGGTGGCGTCTGCATTTTAAAAATGCATATATGCCACCAGAAAGCAAAGCACCATGGGATCAGCTGTTCTAACTCCTCAGTCAGCCAATCCTTGAAGGCTGTTTGCAAGCCCCTGGCTCCTTACGAATAACCCTGCTCAGTGCTCTGAAGCGCCAATGATCAGCTGATTGGCAGCCAAGGGGGTGGGGGAGGGGCAGCTGCCCCCCTAGATCAAGTAAAACAATAGGAAAACTTAACTATTGTCCCCCCAAAAAAAATCCTGGCTAAGGCCATGCCAATGGCAGCAGCACAGGATTCTTGACAACCAGAGGGACCTCACAGTGCACCAGAATGGTGACATCTGGTAAGTGGCCTGACAGCATGGTGACATCTGGTAATTGGCCTGTGTGGGGCAGGTGAGATAAAGATGTACACACAGCCTTTGTAAGATGCCTTTTTTCAGTGGCACACTCTGTGTGCATGTATATTATATTTTTCTCTCTGCTGTGGTTGCCATGATAACCCTATACAGTGGTACCTCTGGTTACGAACACTTCTGGTTACGAGCTCCGCTAACCCAGAAGTAGCTGCTTCTGGTTGCAAACTTTGCCCCAGGATGTGAGTGGAAGTTGCATGCCAGAGGTGCGTGTGCAGCGGGAGGTGCCATTAGAGAAAGCGTGCCTCAGGATAAGAACGGTTTCAACTTAAGAACGGACCTGCGGAACAAATTAAGTTCTTGACCAGAGGTACCACTATACTGTATCTGATGTCTATGGTCTATAGAGCAAATACACATAAATTACTAATAATGGTATTGGAATTTCACTGACGTCAAATTGCCATACAGAAGGGTGGCTGTTTACTGGAAGAGGTGGCTGTGGCCTCAAGCTAATGCAAATAACCAGATTTTGGCCTCAGGCTCTTATACTTCCTTTAGTGTCTCAGGATGAAAGTATTATTTATTGCATTCTTGTCCTTCCCTTCCTCCAAGGAGCTGAGGAGGGTGTACATTGGGGGTTGGGAACCTTCAGCCTACAGGCCTTCTTTGGCCCCACATGGGTTTGAATTGGGCCTACAAGGCAGTTTTCACTCGACGACACTCACCTGCCCCACACCTGCCGCCTCCTGTTACGTCAGGTGAAGGGCAGCAGTAGATGTGGCTGCCAGTGCAAAATTGGGAGCCTTAAAATGCACTCCTGGCTGTGCATTGGCAAGGGGTGTTTGCTGGGATCAGCTGTGCTACTGAGTCACCCACAGGGAACTCCATAGCACAGTAACACCCATCAGAAAGCAGAACTTGGAAGCCACTGCCTATCAGCTGACTGGTGCTGACTTGAGATTAACTGCGCAAGAGTTACCCATGGAGAACTCTGCAGTTGGCTGGTCTTCGAAGGGACTTGCGAAAAGCCAAGCTGGATGCTTTGCAAGCCCCTTGTTCATTGCAAAGAGCCCTGACCATCAGCTGAGAAGCAGCACTCCAAAGCACCACACAGGCTTCTTTGTTGTTTATTTATGTATAAAAGTATTTATGTGCCACTATTCATTAAAAAAAAAATCTGGTAGCTTAAAAACAAGTATATATAAAACCTTACATTAAAAAGCATGTTA